TTGTCACTTGCCCTGGGTCACGAAGCATCATTATGGCCTCCTCATGGAGCTCACGCCTACTGGCTCTTCAGTGAACAGGGAAAGGGCAGGAGGGAGACTCTTCTGTAGACAACAGTACAGAGGGGTCCAGCCATGGACTCTCCTTCCTCTGCAAGGGCCTTCAGGCCTCGGTGTCTCCACATGTGCAATGGGTATGTGACCCAGGTTTTGAGAGCTTCTCATACTGTATACAGAACAGCTTCTTCCTCCTGCAGAGACACCCTGAGAGACATCCAGTCTCTCACCAAGCACTCTGTGAGGACGTGCTGTGTTCTAGGCACTGGGGTAGGCTGGGGACAAGCCCAAGAGGAAGCAGACATATGCCTGCCTCCTTGATAAGAGATCCTCAACGGTGAAGGCAGCAACAGTAAGAGATTTTAATCCTTTCTAGTAGGGGCTGTTGATTCCAGCTAAGGTTCTGAAGGTGGATGTTAGCACTGAGAGCTGGAACTTGGTGCCTGCTTGTCTTAGAGTACAGAGGCAAATGTTGGGGAGGCAGTGGCAGCTTAAATCAACTTCAAGACCTGCCTGGCATGGATGTCTGAAGGCCAGGGCGGGCTAGTCAGGCCTTGGGAGGAAGGCAGGCAGGCAGGCAGGCAGGCAGCCATGTCTTTGGGTCTCCAGTCTGGGCTCTGCACTGGGCAGGCCGCTTCTCTGACCCAGCCGCTGTGTCTGTGCACGATAGACTCTTCTGTGCTCTACTGTAAGTATAAAGCAAGGTGGGGATGCTGGCTCCACCTGTCCTGGCCCCTGTGTGTGGTGGCCCGAGGCAGGATTCCCCTCCTCTGCTTCTCTTATGTGAGGGCATGTAAGAAGTCTCTGGGCTGTAGAGTATTTGCCAGGCGTGGGCAAGGTCTTGGGTTCAAACCCCAGAGCTACATTAGACTTGTGTGATGGTGCTGGCCTGTAATCCCAGCACTGCAGAAGGGAAGGTAGAGGCAGGAGGATCAGAAGTTCAAGGTCATCCCACCTACTTGTGAGTTCAAAGCCAGCCTGGGATCTAGCTGCTGCCCCTGGAAAAGGGACAGTGATTTCAGCTGTGTGGTGAGGGACACTTCCTGGAGCCTGTAACTCCATGCATTGTAATCACCTGTAGCTGCGGTAACCACGAGGCAGCTCCTAGCATGAGAATCAAGCATCTTCACTGCTGCAAACAGCCGTGGGCCCTGAGCCAAGAGAAACAGCCCCTCTCTTGGGGAAGCAGGCTGCCGGCAGGTGGTGTGAAGGGACTCACTGTGCTGTACTGTAGCCCCTTGACCACCGTGAGTGTGGGCTGGCCTAGCTGGGAGCCTGGAGGTGGACCCTAGTGGGTGTCCTGAGAAGTCAGACTGGGCCAGTGGAGGCCTATCAGAGACAGAGAGATCAAAGGCTGAGGCAAAGTCCCAGGGTTTCTGTGATACTGCCTCCTTCCAGTGATCTCAGAGTCGTTTGGGCCTTGTTCATCTCTTGCTGAGTGGGATGAAGGCCTTGTCCACCCTGGGGTTGGTCGTGGCACCAGCTATTATTTTAGGGAGTGCTTACCACGTACCAACGTGCTGCTCTGAGCTATTCTGTTCACCACCCGCCCTCCCCTCCCCCTTTCTCTCTCTCTACTCCCCTGATGGGCACTACTGTTCTACAGATGAGAACCCTGAAGACCAGAGAGGCTTAGTACATTGCCTAAGGTCCTTCAGCCACTTTAAGTGGCTCTCAGCTCCTCAGTCAGGGCTCACATCACCAAGCTGCTACCACAGGGCCTGGAACAGCCGGCATAGGGAGTGGGAGAAGCTACAACATTCCTGTGGGGCTGTCCCACATGGGTGGGAGATAAGGGCTTATAAGGGTCTTGCTTGGGATCTGGGAGGGCCAAGGATTGGAGCAGGCCTTGTGTTTTCCTCTAGCAGTGAACTGGGAGCTGGTGTTCATTATGAATGTGATTTTTTTTTAAGCTGCCGTTGTCAGCAGCTGCATGAGAATAGGCTGGGGGCAGCAGAGCAGCAAGGAGACCTATAGGGAGGCTGTTGTAGATGCCTGCAGTAGGGGCTGCTGGCTGAGAGGAGGTTGCCATGGTGACAGGGACGTGGGGGTGGATGCCAAGAATGTGCAGAGCAGATCTGCAGGTCTTGCTGGAATGGTATATTGCAGGGCTGCTGGTCAGGCACACACAAGGGGCTTGGAAGAAGGACAGAGTGCCTGTGTCTCTGGACCTAGGGAAGTTGAGGCCAGGGGGAATGTCCTCCCCTGATGGTAGTCCTGTGATAAGCAGCTAGCCTGAGGCTTGGAGGTGATGCTGAGGCAGGTTCACTGGGCCCTGGGTTTTCCAAAGGCAAATGGAGAACCATTTAGCTCTTGTACCATGCTCCCATAGGAAGGAGGGTGACAGTGAAGGAGGATCATACTTCTGGGTGGACCTGAGTGACCGAAGAGACCCACAGAGACTCCATAGTGCCAGTCACAGGACAGGCACTGCACTGCCTCCCTCAGGCCCCTAGCCATCATGGTCCAGCCTCAGGCAGCATGATGACAGATGGAATCCTTAGAGTATGTAGCAAAGCAGAGTCTAGACACGGGTTTTTTGGAACCCCAGTTGTTGCTCCCTTCCCGTATTTCTAGAGGGTTCTCTGAGTACAGGGTCATTAATGGGTCTGGGAGTCCAGAATGTGGAACCAGGGCTGTCAGGGCAGCAAGCCATAGGGCATTAGAGTCTGGCTCCTTATTAGAACTGGCCTTGGCCAGTAGCTCCCTGTGGGGCGAGGAGACCCTTGTCTCTCTTCCATCCCTCCCGATGCTGGAGGCTGGCCCTTGTCCTCCTCTTAAGTTTAAAAGCTAGAAGTCTTCCCAGCCCCAAGCATTGAGACGTGTCCAAAGGGTGGATCAGCCCTTCTCTGTTGGAGGCTCCAGGTCATTCTCGAGCAGACCCTTCCCTTGGAGGGAGTGGAGTCCCACATCCTCCAATTATGCGCCCACCGCAGGCCACAATGAGCTGGTCAGATAACCATCGGGGGCTGCTGACCTGCTGCAGGAACAATGCTGGCTGCCTGAGCTGTTTTCACAGTGGCCACAGGCTTGCTGAGCCATGTGGGGCCCCGGGGGAGCCGCAGAGAAAGGCCATGCGGATGCTCCCCCAGACAGAGGAAGGGCTTGGGGGCTGCCCAGTGGCTCCAGGAAGCCTTTCTTGGTCTGCTCACTGCCAGATAGCAAAACAATTGGGGTCCTCCACCCCAAGCCAGCCAGTGAGAGGAAGGAGGTGTGGAGGAAGTGGGGTTATTGAGCCTCTGGGCCTCTGGGCCTTGCAGAGTCCCTCCAGGGACCTGGCATGTTACTTCTGTATACCCTAATGTCTCTGGCAGCCACTCTGGACCTTAGTGCGAGGTCTCACCATGTTCCCCTTGGCACTGAGTTTCTGTTGGTACAGCACTTAACCTGATGCCCTACTGTATGCTGGGCTTCAGAGCGCTAAACAGGACAGGTTCTTCTCTCCACAAACCTCTGGCCAGGTCGTGGAGAAGACCACCAGCTGGGAAGTGTGGGAAGTTGGAGCTCAGGTAGGGGTTGGCTGTGGGAAGCCAGATGAAGGTGCTCTCTCAGCGGCAAGAGCTGGGAACAGCACACTCTGTATCTACTTCAGCGGGTGATTTCATTCATTCATTCATTCTTTCTTTCTCTCTTCTCAAGACAACAGGGTTTCTCTGTAGCTTTGGAGGCTGTCCTGAAACTAGCTCTGTAGACCAGGCTGGCCTCGAACTCAAAGAGATCTGCCTGCCTCTGCCTCCTGAGTGCTGGAGTTAAAGGTGTGTGCCGCCACCACCCGCCTTGTGACTACCTTTGTTGTCACTCATTTTAATCTGCAGATAGGGAAACTGAGACTCAGAAAAGAGCAGGGAGGGCTATTAGCTCTGGGTTCCCCCCAACTCATCCCCACCCTGTGACTCTCTGCCATCCTGTATGTGAACAATTGCACACAGGACCCAGGGTTGACAGGGTCTCTAGATGTGCTTGGTTACTTGCTTTTCATAGGACTTGCTATGTGTCCTTTGATGACATGGATGGTGACTACCACAGGATGTGACAGTGCCTCTCAGCTAAGCTCCAGAGACACGAGGAGATGCTAGGGGAAGATGATGAACATTAGCTGGTACAAGCCCCTACCCAGGGTAGAGTCCAAGCAGGGAGGTGACCCTGAACTGTGCCAGGCTTAGGAAGCCTCCTTATGTCCAAGCCCAGCTGGAAAACAGAGGGCAAGACCCCTGCTTGCTAGGGTCTGTGAGTTTAGCCTGGAGTTGGCAGGACTAAAGAATGGATAGTAAGTAGCAAGCCCTGGTTCCCAGTCTGGGGATGGGCCAGGCTTTCCTAGCTTATTTTCCATACCTGCCCTGGCATCATATCCTCAGCTGCCACAAGCATCCTTGTATAATTCTGTATAAGAAAGCCTTATTTTCTTCTGCTACAAACCTATTCTGTTACTGTCCATTTTATATACCCTGATGGTGAAGCCTGTTTCCTAGTATAGTGTCCTGTGTGGTCAACACTATCTCCCTGCTTCTTCACTGAGAGCAGGCACCTCCTGTAGGCCAGGCCCCTCACTAGGCTCTGCACGAAGGTGTAACTGAGATGTGAGTTGCTATTTTTTTTTCTGTATAGACCTCAATTAGAAGTGTCTGGAGTGGAGAGCCACAGGCAGACTCTCCTTTGGAAGATGTTTGGAAGTGCATAGGATACACAAACTGAATGAAATTTGATGTTTGGGGGGCAATCTTGGGCCACCAGTACTTCTGTTTAGCTGGTGCCTGGGAAATGGAGCCTGTTGCTTCTATAGGTTGCAAGTGATTCAGACCTGAGCTTTTGAGATCTTTGAAGTCTATGTGGCTTCTATGATGGGGACTCATGGTGTGGGAGCTCCTTCTGCAGCCTGGGGAGGTAGGAACTGGTCCTAAGTGTTACTGGGTAGGTCTCATCATCCACCTTGATTCTGCCTCCCATAGAAAACGAGGAAATGGCCACCAAGGAGAAGCTGCAATGTCTGAAAGACTTCCACAAAGACATCCTGAAGCCTTCTCCAGGAAAGAGCCCAGGCACACGGCCTGAGGATGAGGCCGAGGGGAAGCCCCCTCAGAGGGAGAAGTGGTCCAGCAAGATTGACTTTGTGCTATCTGTGGCCGGAGGCTTTGTGGGTTTGGGCAACGTCTGGCGCTTCCCATACCTCTGCTACAAAAATGGTGGAGGTAAGTCTGGATCAAATGCAAGACTGGGGTCAGGGTGTGAGAGATCTTTTTCTATTCTCTGACCTTCTCCAGGTCAGGTCTACCCACCTGCATCTCACACACAGAGTCAGCATGCCTGAGGACAGACAGGGTGGTGTTGTGTAACCCCTTGGCTAGGTAACCTTCTGGAGGACCCTCAGTCTCTATGATCCTCTGGTTTGCCCTGTCTGACCCATGGCATCAACCTTAAACATTCATGCCCTTTGTCCCTACATTCCACCACCTCTGGGCTTACAGCCTTCTCTTTTAGCATCTTTGGCACTGATTTTGCTTTTTAACTTCACCCTAAAACTTCCCAAAAGCCTGTTGTCTCTTTCTGTGGATGGCAAACCAGCATTATTTGCCATAATGCAAGGGGATTGGGGGCAGAGGACATCCATGAAGGTATCCTAGCTATGGTGGTTGAGTTGGTGGGGTTGGGTTTGGAGTTTTGTGTGGGCTGTCTCTCCTCCTGCTGAGGTCTCTGAGAGATTTCCCTCGGATGTCAAGGTTAGGCAGCACCAGCTTAGAGATGTTCTCACTGGCGCAGACGGGGACCGAAGAAGAATGTAGGTTGCAACCACTTGCCATGTGACTGTAAAGGTGGGCGTACTGTCTGCTCCCGTGGTAAGAGAGCCACTTTTGGGGGAACCTCCTCTTAGCACCTGGTTTCTTGACCTCATAGGTCTCAGATTCCCTGGCAGCTCTGATAGGTATCCTAGATGCTCCCTAGAACAAAGCGTAGACCCAAGGTGCTCACAATTTTACACAATTTTATGGGCCCACTAAAGCCATTAGTATATGCAGGTAGGACCACCCCTTTAGATACTTTGTTCCCTGCCTCCCCCTGGCACCCACCACCTCCTGCCTTCCAACCCCCACCCCGATTCTGGGCCTTCCTGGACGCTGACCCAGGCTGGCCTGTGGCAGATGGGTATAGCTCCTGAAGGAGGTAGTGCTGTATGTTCCCAGGTCTAGCAGATCAAGCAGCCTTTATGGGAAGGATACTGTGGAAAAGGCAGGCAGGCACCAGCCTAATGGCTTGAAGAACCTGGTAGATTTGCAGGTTAGTGGGTGGGATGGGTAGGCAGGCCTGGAGAATCTTCCGGGGAGTCCGAGTTTGGTCTCCACGCTTACTTACATCCCGCACTCCTGATGCCTTTGGTTGGGAGGTCTTGGGAGTGAGCAGCTTACCAGCCATGCTGTGACAGCCCTAGCTTCACTCTTTCCCCTCTGCTCACTTGGCAGGTGCTTTCCTCATACCGTATTTTATTTTCCTGTTTGGGAGCGGCCTGCCTGTGTTTTTCCTGGAGGTCATCATAGGCCAGTACACCTCAGAAGGGGGCATCACCTGCTGGGAGAAGATCTGCCCCTTGTTCTCTGGTGAGTATGTAGCTGGCATCACTTCGGTCTGTATGTATTAAATCTACCAGGTTTTTAGTGACACCTTCTATCTTCTGGGTTTATCACATCTCACATGTATCAGTGCTGGATGCAGGGCAGCAGCATGTTGTAATGTCACCAAGAGGCAAGGAGAAGGGACATACATACTGCATGTTCCTGGCTACTCAGAAAGTCCACCTTGGGGCCACCTCTGTGGGTGTTTGGATAAGCGAGCGCAGCTCTCTCAAAATGCAGGAATCTGGGGCACTGGGTTTAGGCCTCACTTAATCCTCTTGTTGGGGTGGCTTTAGGAAAGTCATTGAGCCTCAATTTCTTCATCTAGGAAACAATATTCTCACCCTATAGAGTTACTGGGAAGACAGAAAGATAGTCATGTCTGAGTTTTGTATGTGTGGTCAGCACTCTATTGATGGTGGCTCCATTATGTGCTCGGTACTTAGTGTTTACCTGGAGTAATCACTGCTGTGATGGGGAGGAAGGAATGGGAATATTAGCCCCTTCTTTCAGTCACCTACATAAATATTTACCTACTATTTCTTCCATTATGCCATCACTCAATAGTTAGGCCATCCATCTCCTTTTCTTCCACCTATTATCCAGCCTTCCAACCAACCACCATATGTACATATATAAGAATTAGACTATATTTACAACAGATGTTAAAGTGTGAATATAAAGTCTGTTCGTTTAGCTCTCTGCATCTATCCATCCATCTATCCATCCATCCATCCATCCATCCATCCATCCATCCATCCATCCATCCATCCATGTATCTATCAATCTATCCTTCCATCTGTCTACTCATCCTTCCATATTTGTCTCCCTATCCATGTTTCCATCCATCCATCCTCTATTCATCTACCAATCCTATATTTCTATCCACCCACCCATGTTTCCCTCCATATTTCCTTCCTTCCTTTCTTTTGGTTTGGTTTCTTTGAGAAAGGGTTTCTCTGTATTGTTTTGGAGTCTGTCCTAGAACTCACTCTGTAAACCAGGCTGGCCTCGAACTCACAGAGATCCACCTGCCTCTGCCTCCCAGGTGCTGGGATTAAAGGTGTGCACCACCACTGCCCTGCCCCCTCCATATTTTCATTTATCTCTATTCACCCATCTATCTATCCATCCATCCCTCTATTCATCTACCTATTCTCACATATTTTATCTATCCATCCATGTTTCTATTCATTCATCCATATTTCTATCCATCTACCATCCGTCCATCTAACTATTTCTGTTCATCCATTTTTCTAGAAAAACCCATCCCTCTGTTCATCTATGTTTCTGGCCACCCATCCGGCCATCCAACTGCACAGTCATCGTCTTGTCCTACTTCTTTCATTCCTGTGATTCCTCTGGCCACCATTTCTTTGACCACTCATTCACACGTCCTTTCATCTGGTTATTCCTTCATCCTGTGACTATTTTGTGCTTATTGTTGAGGGGGCCCCTTTGGCTCACAGCCTAGGCACACCAGTGCCTCCCCGTTGACTGTGCCTCCTTTTTGACATGTGTCCATTTTGCTTTTCTTGCCCACAGGCATTGGCTACGCATCCATCGTCATCGTGTCCCTCCTGAATGTGTACTACATTGTCATCCTGGCCTGGGCCACATACTACCTATTCCATTCCTTCCAGCAGGAGCTCCCCTGGGCCCACTGCAACCACAGCTGGAACACACCACATTGCATGGAGGACACCCTGCGTAGGAACGAGAGTCTCTGGGCCTCCCTTAGCACTACCAACTTCACTTCGCCTGTCATCGAGTTCTGGGAGTAAGGCCACATCATGGGAAGGAGGAAGGGCATGGGCAGTCTAGAGGGGACAGTGTCTTCATCCTGATTGTAACAGGCCCTGTCTCTGGAGGGTAGGAAGAGACACAGCTGGAGACAACTCCATCCATGCCTCTGTCTCATACAAGATGGATTTGAATCCCGGTTTACAAATTATGGCTATTTGATTGTTTTAGGCAATCACCCCTTTTGAGTCTTAGTTTAACTGTCAAATGAAGAAGATGTATCATTGTTATTCCATGGGATTTCTGTGAAAGAATTTTCTCCAAATATAGGTGTACATGTGTTTGAAAATTATAATTTTCTTAATATATTTTGGGAAAAGCATTCTATTATCACAGAGAAAAACGCATTTATGTAGTTATTCAAATGAAGAGGTGAGTTGATGATAGTAAAGCTTTATATCAGTTAGTTAGCTCTTGCTGTATTACAATCATTCCCAAGCCTGGTGGTTTTAACCAAGCGCTATTGTTGAGCTCATGACTACTGGGTGCCAGTTTGAGTTGTGCTCACCTTGGTAGGTCTTCTGTTGGGCTCCTTCATGTGTCTGTGGGTGGCTCTTTTGTGGCTGGCCTCACAATGAAGAGGGTGTTAGGAGTGAATGGCTTGTGTGATCTCATCGCCCAGTATTTCCCCTTTGGCTTTTCATAGGCAGCTCAAGAGCAACAGGCAGGCAAACCCCAGCATGTGAACAGCATGAAGATATGTCCTTGTGTTAATAGCATTTGGGGAACTCTCATGAGTGTGCATGCATTCCAGGACATCCTAACAGTTCATGGAAGCTGATTAGAAACCCTGAGTGCGTCAGTTCCCTTAAGTGTGCACCTTAACTCAGGATGCCTCTTGGCCTCATGTGCAGTGGAGAGTCAAGGCAGCGGAAGGCCTGTCCCAGACTACCATGAGATGAGACTCTCTCTCATTGGTGGGCAGTGGCTGCCTTTGAGGTGTTGCCCTAAACTAGGGACCATCAGGAGCGAGAGCTGTGTTATATTTCCTACAAGATCCGTCAGCTGTTCTTACTTGCAGGAAGTGGTCTTCCTTGGGTGGCCTGTGCCATGCCTGGGCCTCTATACTACATTCACAGGCAGGGCCCTAGGCTTTGGGGACATGGGGTCTCCTAATATGTATATTTTCCACTAGCAAACAATGGGAAGGGTATTAAAAGCATGTTCTCCACCCTTCAAAGAGCTGGCATTTCACTCTCTTCTTTGAAGGGGCTCAAGACCACAAGCCCTAACCTTTCTGTGCTGTTCTTGGCATTGCTTGGACGCCATGGCTACCTAACTCTCCCAGGCTTCTGGTACCTTGCCAGCCTCTGAGGTGTCTACCTTCCAGGGTTAAACCTGCATTCTGCTACTTCTGTCTTAGACAGATGTGGTCTCCTCTCTGGCCTCAGTGTCCATCCCTGGGATGATCCTCATACTGTTGTAGGGGCTATATCACAGCCCTAGATGATGAACCCCTGCATGACCACTGAAAACTGCTCCCTCACTTCAGGGTACTGTTCGGTGTTGTGTCTTCATTATGGTTAAGCTTCCTTTTTGGTGGGGAGGGGCTAGAATCTGAATGTGACCCCCCTCAAATGTCCACAGGCTTTAGTGGCAAGGGAGTCATGCTCTTGTTGCCTTTGCCTGGCACCTTGGAAGATCTCTGCTCGGTGCCCTTGCCCTCTCCTCAGACATTCTCTGCCTGAGTCTATTCCAGCACCCTTGTATTCTAGAAACCTTGCGCAAAGCACTTGGCACAAAGCGTTAGGAAAACGCCTGGTCCCTCAGGCCTTATTGCAGGTTCTTCCGCAGTGTCCAGGGATATGCTGTGCCCAAGGAGTGCCAGCTTCTGCTGACACTGGCCTGCACAGGCTCTTGACCTGACTTTGTTTTCTAGAACCTCTGAAAATACCTTAGCATTCACAGCACCTTAGTCTGGGGTTCACTGAGCAGAGCTGCAAAGCAGGCAGAGGTGAGCGGAGCCTCCCCTTCCCCAGCAGCCTTCTGCTGAGCCTGTGTGCAGAGGTGAGGTGGTTCCAAGAACTTCTCCTTGTCTTGGGCTTGAAACAGTGGAAAGAGAGGTGAAAGGGTGGGCACTGTGAGCTATTTCCATGTAAAGTCGTCGTCTCCTCCTCCTCCTTCATTTGATTGACTGTAGGGGAGTTGAGTTCTGCACATCATGACACGTGTGGAGGTCAAAGGACAGCTATGCAGACTCAGTTTTTTTCCTTATGCTTTTACGTGAGTTCCAGTGTCCAGCCTCTTGCTGACCCTGAGGTTTCTTTTTAAAAAGATTGATTTACTAATTATGTATATAGCACTCTGTCTTCCTGTGTGCCTGCAGGCCAGAAGAGGGCACCAGATCCCACTACAGATGGTTGTGAGCTACCATGTGGTTGCTGGGAATTGCCCTCTGGAAGAACAGTCAGCACACTTAACCTCTGAGCCATCTCTCCAGCCCCCGACCCTGAGATTTCTTAAGTGAGGAAGAGCTAAGGCACTGTGGGGAAGAGCTAAGGCACTTCTTCACATTTCACGTGCAGTTCTCTGACCCTCCATCATGCATTCAGAATCCAGCTGCCCTCCTGTGCACACCGGGCCCTTCAAGGGCCTCCTGTGTGCAGCTTAGGGACACTTGGCTCCTTGCTCGCTCCTGCCTTTTCCTCAAAGCCTTTGGTCCATCCCTGGCTCAGAGCTCTCTTGCTTTTCCCACACTGTGATCTGACCTGCCAGAAAGGAGTGGGCGAGCACAGCAATGCTCACCGAGCACTGGCCCAGGCCCAGGCAATTTCCTTGTTTCTTTACCTGAACCAGATCTGGAGGTCTGGGAGCCAAAGGTAACAGTCATGGTGGGAACTAGAGGACTCTGTCAGCCCCTCCCTTCTGCTGGTTACCATGGAGGCAGGAGGATTCAGAGGGGAACTCCCCTCCCAATGTGGCCTAAGTGTAGCTCCCACGTGTCCCAACCCTCTGGGGTCAGGGCAGTTGGAACACCAAGCCTGACTCCCCCTTCTATGCTCTGAGCCAGAGTTAGCCTGGCCCCAGTGCTCACATCTGCTCTCTGAGAGTAAGGAACCTGGAACCTGGACCAGGCTATGTGCGTAGGGTTCTGAGGACCCAGCATGGACACAGGTCCACCCTCAGTTAACTTTCCGTCTGTGTTCCAGTCCACCTCCCATCCCTGTGACACAAGGCAGGCCTTGGAGCCAGGCCTTTGATCACAGGCCACATGGTGCACTGTTTGTGTGCGAGCACATCTATATTTCTCCAGTCTCTGGTCAGGCGTGGACTCCTCTGTCACCGCGTTCCTGCCACACTTACCCTGTCTGCAAAGCTAGGCACCTTCTTAGCCTCAGCAGCTCCTGTGAGAAGCCGCTAGGCCCCAGAGACCAACATTTTACACTGGCATTAGGGTATGTTTAGTGGCTGCATGGTGGGGCCACAGAGCTTTTGCCCCTATGGCCTCATCCTGCTGGTCTTCACCTCTGAGGTCACCTCTGTCCCCAAACATAGGCCTTGGACGACAGGCGGGGCCAGGTCTGGCCTAATGCCCTTCAGCAGGCTGGAGCCAGGCCTTCCTCCGAGGCTCCTGCAGAGCCCCCTGGGAGCCCAGCATGGATCATTAGATTCTATTAGAATCAAAGAAATGAGTCATATTTGCAAACAAGCCGTGCTCAGCCGATCTTCCTCCGTAGCTGTCGGAAGGAGGAGGTGGTGTGGGAAGGGCCGTGTGGGGGCCCCATGCTCCGGCGGGCGGCCCTTTTTATAATTGTTGCCTCTGCCAGTCTCCAGGGGACTGCTGCGGCCAATAAACGGCTGGCCTACAGTCAAAAGGAAACGATTTGGCCCACTCTGAGGATGAATTTACATCTCCAAGTGCTGACTGGACGGCAGCAGGGCAGCCGGCTGCAAACACACGTCCAGGCTGGCCTCTCTTTTTTAGTTCCCATCCTGGCAAGAAGTAGCCCTTTTCTTGGAAAAGATCTGCAGCTTACCTCTGGAAGAGACTGGGAAGCTTAAGGCTGGGAGCCATGGCCAGAGACACACTGATGTGCTCCAGAAAAAAAAGAATCAGCCCCAGGCTTGCTTACTACCTAGGGTCAATGGGAGGCTGAGCCTCAGTTTCCCCATCTACCAAATGGCTGTAACGAATTCCCTCAGCTAATGTCAGGTGAGCGCCTTCATGTGCTGGGTGTTGTGATTCAGACAGATGCAGGCCCCATGTGCACAGATCTGACTTGCTAGTAGACAGACACCTCAACTGGTCAGAAAGTAAGAATATAATGAGAAAATGCCGACCGCAGAACCAGTGCTGGGGAAGGAGAGGGCTGGGGCGCTCTTGATGGAGGGTATCCAGGAATAATGGTTGCCCTTGGGAAAAGCGCATCAGTACAGAGACCTGGAAAGCGACCGTCTGTGAATGGTGAAACTGTAGTCAGGAAGCAGCTAGTTCAACAGTTCAGGGACCACACTCAACTCCTGAGCAAGTAGTAGTCAAGGGGCTGGTGAGGGAGGGAGGTAGAGGGGGCAGCTATACACCCATGGTGTCTGGCTTCCGGCCTGTTTGCTCCCCTAGTCTTCTTGTTAGGTACTCCCCGTACTCTTGAAAAGCACCAACATTTGAATGGAAGGTGAGAGAGACGCTGGAGCCACGGATGAGAGCTGGCATGGCAGATACCGTGGCGCCCCCCTGACAAGTGCGGGGTGATGTAGGGAAGCTGGGAAAAGGTTACTGTAGTGGCTTAGGGGTGCAGTAGGGCCTGAGCAGGGCATCGTGGCGGGGACGTAGGGGTTTAGGAGGCACCCACAAGTTACCCACAAGTGACATTGTGTCTCATGCACCTTGCATTTTACTGAGCTCCACTCAGACCAGTGAGAAGCCCCAGGGGATCCCCCTTGGATGGAGGACACTGAGAGGATTAGTGGAGGGGGTCCCTGCTGGGATTCAGATGGCTGTTTTCCAGCTCAGGCCTGTCTGGGGTTGTCAGAGCCTGATTGACAGACTTACTCCTTCCATTTCTAAGGCATTTTGTGGCCCTGGCAAGCTATATGAAGCTGGATGACAGACCTGTATAATTTCAGTACTGTGTAATCTCAGGTAGAGGCAAGAAGGTCAACCGTTTAAGACCAGCCCGGGCTATGTGAGACCCTGTCTCAAAAAAACAAAACAAAACTTTAATCCCAGCACTCAGGAGACTGAGGCAGGTGGAACTCTGAGATAGAGACTAGCCTGGTCTACAAGGCGACTTCTAGGACAGCTAAGACTACACAGAGAAACCCTGTCTCACACACCCCCCCCCCCTGCCCAAGTCTATAGAGTATATATGTGAATACTCACCTGCAAAAGGACTGCATTTATTGTTGAGTCCCTGTCCCCAGGCAGCGCCTGGTCTTGTGCGGATGCCTCCTGCTCTGCTGGCTCACTCTGTCCCTCAGGGTGTTATGCTGCTTCATCAGAACATCAAGAACTTGACACTGGCGGTATTCCACTGTGCCCGCCCCAAGGCTTACTGTACCCTAAAGGGGCACTCGGGTCACCTCTTGGTGAATGCTTTATGGGGGGGCATGCTGGTAGAAAATAGGAGATGGTCTTGGGAATGGAGCTACTGGGTCAGGGAAAATCCACCTTAAAATGTCACTGGGTGTCCCACTGCAGGGACTGTCCCCAGCAGCAGAGGGATGAAAGGACTCAGTTTGTCTCAGCTACCCAGAGCAACTCTACTTGGCAGTGCCTGGTGGCAGTGGGCAGTGGGCACTGTTGAGCAGTTGGCTTTGCCCTAACAGGGTGGTGGGAATGGGCAGAGAGGGAGTCATGACCTGGATGGGGCTCTCAGGACCAGCAAGATCTGGCTTTGGAGTTCTGAGCTTGATGGATTGCCCCAAAAACGAAGAGACGTGGTCGTCTCATGGCTGATCATTGACTAAGTAGACTACGTCAGCATGCTGTCCATGAGGTGGTCAGCACCAGTGGGAAGGCAGGCAGGCTAGATGGGTTCTACAGGAAGTCACTTGGAGCGTCGGCTGCTGAGGGCACACTTGCGGAGGGCAGGCCAGGGGAAAGGCTGCGAGTGTAGAATAGGGCCACGCTCTTCTCCCCCATGTGGCCCATTCACAGGAGCGTGGGCTGTTTCTCCCTGTGTGCTGAGCTTCCATGGCTGGCACCCAAGTGCTGAATGTTGAATGGGAAGGGCTTTTTGTTCTGTGGTGCTGCCAGGTCTCAGCTTGGCAGGGGCCCAGCTGCATGTGGTTGGCTGTTAGCCTGCTTTGTGAAGGTACCCCACGATGCTGTCCCGAGACACCAGATGATCCCAGATCATAATGGAGGACTGGAGGGCTCTTTAACTTATTGTTTAAGTTTTTTTTATTATATTTTATGTCTATAGGTGTTTTGCCTGTGTGTGTGTATACGTATACATGCACCACTAGTGTGTCTAATGCCACAGAAGCCAGAAGGGGGTGTAATATCCCCTAGAACTGGAGTTACACGTGGTTGTGAGCTGCCATGTAGGTGTTAGGAATTGAACCCAGATCCTCTGGAAGAGCAGACAATATGCTTACCCTTTGAGCCAGCTTTCCAGCAGGTGCTATTTTCCTTTAAAATCAGACTATGTTGTGGTGGAGTTGGGAGCCTTGGGACCCAGGCAGTTTTCGTGGCTTTTCGAGTGTGGGCAAATGAACTCTCCAAACCTTGGTTTTCCCACCTGTGAAGTGTGGCGAATGGGCTCTACCCCTTGGGTGGAATGAGATCAGTGGGAAAGGCACATAGGCAGGTTGTGCTGGCTTTTGTCGCTTGTGTGTTGGTCAGGCACTCTTAGCAACATGGTAGGGGCACTGATGTCACTGTGAGCAGCAGGGTAAGAACCAAGTTGCCCCCCATTTAGGCTTGGGGTACCTCTTACATTGACCTAGTATTGTGAGGTTTGATTCTCCTAGGTGGTTCATTCACTCAGTGGGTGTTTGCTGAATCCTGCTGTGTGCCAGGTGTCATCCTGGGTCCTGAGAGCAATGACAGTGGACCAAGCATGTTGCTTGAAAACCATTTAGAAGAACTCTTGGGTTTATTCAAAATTCCTATGATGAGGCTTTTCTGAAGGGGGAAAAAGTCAAAGGTCCTGGTCCAGAGGGTACCCTGGGCACGAGCTGGCACTACCAGTTTGCCAAAGGACAAACCGAGGCTCATAGTCTCCATTCCTGTTCATAGGGTGGCCTGGGACAGGGGCCTGCCTGCAGCTCTAAGGACTGTCTTTGTCTGGGACTCTCCTGGAGTGTGGGGGCCCTGTGTCCTTTCTGTTGTGGTTGACAGCTTAAAGACCTGGAGACCCAGTGTCTGGGAAAGAGGTCTGTGGGTTGCAGGGCACGGGGTACCGGGGCAGTAGGTTTCGTGGCCATCTGGGCTGTGAGCACCCTGTGCTGGCTCCTATGGTTCCTTCCCTGCAGGGAGGTGCTGGGTGAAGGTGCATGTGTGTAAACAGCAGAGACTAGCAAAGGTGACTGGAGGTGTCTGACTCCACAGACCCCAGCTCTGCTGTGTGGTTCTGAGCAGGGCTAGCAGCCTCTTCTCCCTGGGAATTGTCCTGAAAGCTGTGGACCTGCCTTCTCCAGAGAGCTTCAAAACCCTGGCAGGGAAGGAGGGAGGAAGCCAGCACTATGTAAACACTAGCTATATGCCAGTAGCTTCTTTGGGTAATGCTTTCATCCTGCAGTCATGAGATCAGGTATGTCAGAAGTCAGCCACCTCCAGACCCTGGCAAGGTACTAGATATTTCTGTGGTGTTCTCTTCACAAGCTACTGCTGCAAGATGGGTACCCTGTGCCCAACAGGGCCCACTTTGCCTTTCTGAGGCTTATACCTTGGAAAAGATCTAGATAACATTCAGGGTTAGGCCTTTTTTTTTCTTCCCTGTTGATTGAATTTGTTCTTTTGAGACAGGATCTGACTATGTAGCCCTGGGTGACCTAGAGCTCATAATCCTCCTGCCTCAGCCTGAGATTACAGGTGTAAACCACCATTCCCAGATAACAGTCGAGTTAGGTCAAGGAAGTTAGGACAAAGGGTACTGGGAAGGGGGGGTCCACCCCCATTTTACATACTGAGACAGTGGTCTGGGTGGGTGGGTAGCTTGCCCATGGTTAGCATTTAGACAGAAGCAGAGATTTGAATCCTGTGTTTGACCTACAGTTAAAATTGAAGGTTGTTCATGGGATCCTGCAGATAACCAGTCCCCGTTTAAAAACATTTGTGTGTGTGCGTGTGTGTGTGCGTGTGTGCGTGCGTGCGTGCGTGCGTGCGTGTGCGCAGTCAGAACAACTTGAAAGAGTCGGTCCTTTACTTCCACTGTTCAGGTCACAGGCTCAGCAGCAAGCACCTTCACATGTGGGGCCATCTTACCACCCAAATCAGTATCCATTTTACAAACGAGGAAATGGAGGCTTGGGGAACTTAACTTGCCCACAGCCTGGCTGGGTTGATCCTGAGGTCACCTGATAAGGATTCTGCAGCTTCTTGACTACCCTGCTACCCTAGTTCCTCTCCATTGTCTTCCTGACAAATGGGTCCCAAGGCTTATGCACATGTAGTGCCAGGGGTCGGGGCTGCCACTGAGGCATCTCTGTGGAAATGGGGGTAGATGTTGATTACTTATTTATTTATTTATTCATTCATTCACACTTGTAGGTGTTGATTATCTATTTATTTGTGTGTTTGTTTATTTGTTTGTTCGCATGCTGTAGTCCAGGCTGGCCCGGCCTGGAATTCACTGTGTAGCCCAGGCATTCCTCAAACTCAAGGCAGTCCTGCCTCCGCCTCCCAGATGCTGGAATGAAAATGAACATTTTGTATTTTATTTTGTCATGGTGCCAGAGGCGGAACCCAGGACTTTGCCTGTGCCAGCCTTGCTGTCCAGTGGCCCCCAGCCTCTGACCTCCTTGTTCTCTTTCTCCAAAGGCGCAATGTGCTCAGCCTGTCCTCTGGAATCGATGAACCAGGTGCTCTGAAATGGGACCTTGCACTCTGCCTCCTCTTAGTCTGGCTTGTCTGTTTTTTCTGCATCTGGAAGGGTGTTCGATCCACGGGCAAGGTGAGTGGACTCCTGTCTCCTGCCTCAGATACAGCCATACTGTGGCCAGCCTTTTCCTCACAGAGCTCTACCCTAGGAGGAGGGTCCATGTCGGGACAGGAGAGTGCTCTGACAGGACAGGCTTAGTGACCCCGTGACTGGTGGACAGCCACCACTGAGCTGGTGTCACTAGCCATTGCCCCACTGTCCCTGATGTGCAGTGTTGGTGTGATGAGCTAGGCTCGCTGAGCCAGAGGCCAGGTGGCAAGTCCTGCTGCTGGCTGTGGCCATCAGCCTGCAGTGTGGACCCAAACTTTTGCATAGCAGGCTGGCAGCCACCTGGGGTTTAGAACAGATGGTGAAGCGGGGCTGCCCGGCTACCCTGCGTCCTTGTCTGGGCTGCAGAGCTCACTGCTATACTGAACCTCAGTCTGAAGGGAAGCCAACCAGGCCTGGACCACAATGTACTAGAATTACCCCACAGGGCAAGCAGAAAGAAGGAGCATGGCTGTTGCCTATCTCCTTAGGGACCCTGTACACTATGCTCCCCACTTCCCTGCAGTCCTTCCTGGGAGCATGCATGTTGCTTTCCTCGAAACAGTGAGAACACAGAGGTTCAGAAGAGATCAGGCAACTTGTCCTAGAGCAGTTCCCTGCCACCCAAGCCTGTCCCCTCTGCTGTCAAACGGTGAACGTGGGAGTTGAAATGAGGCATATTAAGTACCTCAGGTGTGAGCACCAATAGACCTGACCCACACTCTTGAGGAAGCAGCAATTACCTTCTGTCCTCTGCCCCAGCTTCCTCACATGGAAGCGAATCTGTCAGGGAATGTCCAGAGAGCTTTGGTGCTGAGCATGCTGGAGAGAGTGTCAGTCATATTTGGGGTACACTGATGTCCTTTGAACCTCTTGTGTGTGGATCCTGTCTTAGAAACAGCGAGGGGATCCATACATAGTGTTCGGCATCTGTGGCTGCCTGGGAAGAGAGTTGAGTTATAGGAGAGAAGAGAGGAGTGTGGGCTGTCTTCTGTAGGGTAGCCAGGCAAGGGTTACTGAAGTGATTGAGTGTAGAGGAGAAAGGAGTGGAAGCCAGGCAGTGGTGGCTCACACCTTTAATCCCAGCACTCGGGAGGCAGAGGCAGGTGGATCTCTGTGAGTTCGAGGCTAGCCTGGTCTATAGAGCAAGTTCCAGGACAGGCTCCAAAGCCACAGAGAAACCCTGACTAAGAGTGGAGAGTTTGAGTATCTGAGGGGAGTGTTGCCAGCAGAGGCAATGGCCAGTGTAAAGGCCTTTGGCTTGGAAGTAGGGAGTCCCCAGTCTGATGGAGGAGGTTGATGTCTATCAGGCACAGTCAGCAATATTTAGGACACAGCACACCACACAGGGGACAGAGCCAAGGTCAAAGAGAGGGTGCCAGGCTGCATCTGTGGCTCATGTGAAAACGTGACTGGTGAGAGCCCCACTGCCCCCAACCTACACTGAGCTACACCCTGCTCTGTGGGGCACGCTGTGATTCCTAGAACAATAGCCGCCTGATGGGTCAGAGAAGCCAAGACAAACAGCTCTGTGGACTTCCTCCAACTCAGTGCTGAGAGGCCCTTAGAGGCCGTTCGCCTGCTTGCTTACCCATCCAGAGGCCCACCCGGGCTGGCTTCAGCTTCCAGCCCTGGCTGCAGACCAGGCTTCCAGCCGTGGGGGCTGAGCCCTCTTGGCCAAGCCTGCTTCTGTGGCTAACTTAGTCCAGGAGAAAGGAGGGTGATGGATGGAGGCCTGGGCTCCAGAGTTCAGGCTCTTGGTTTTGGCCTTTCCAACTCTGCGAGGATCTGAAGTAGGTTCCAAATTCAGTATCAGTTTCACTCCTCCAACAAGCCAGGTAGCTGGGGTGTTGACATGGCCTCTCAGTGCTGGGTTGTAGCTCATTTAATCCTCAGGAAGTTCTTTGATCCTGTATAATTGAAACTGAGGTTCAGAGAGCTTAACTAACTTTCCCGGTGCTACCCAGCTCATCAGTGGCCAAGCTCGCTCTCAGTCTCACCCCTGTGCTGGGCTGTAGGTGCAGTGAGGCAGAAGTCGGGCATGTTCCTGCTTGCTCTCTCAAGGAGACAGACTGCCATTGCTTCCCCAGGAAGGGCCTGGACATGTGCTGGCTGGACCTATGGTCACACTCCAGGGCAGACCTGGGTTTGGACTTAGGCTCTCTACAACTTACCTCTGCCCCTACAAATAGAATGACTACAAGTCCCTCTCACCTGCTCAGCCTCAGTTTCCCCTGGTGTGCAGTCAGTGATTGAACGACTCTTGCTGCCCAGGCCATCTGTTCTCAAGTAAGGCTGAGTGAGTAACAGGGGGCTGGAAGCTAGTTCCCTCTTGCTGCCCACCAACCTCCAGAGGACTGGGAGTGAGGTGTCCTGTAAGCCTACATTTTCTATACGGCCTCTGGCCCTGAGCTCAGGGGAGTAATGGAGGATCAGAAACAGGAGTGGAAAAATACCGCGTCCCACAGCAAGGCCTACTGGGCCACCGACAGGGGCCCATGGTGGCGCCTGGCACCAGCCTCTCCCTGGAGGATCCCAAGGGACAGTCACGGAAAAGTTGAGAAGGGCTCCCAGGCTCGTCCAAGGAACAGTAAAGCTACAAAACACAAGGAACAGTAAAGCTGGCTTTCTGGAATAATGGCTGGAGCAGCATGACTCAGGTGTCAACACAGTAGCACTCCTGAAGACCCAGGAGCCCTGGAAGTATTTGGCCTAGATCATATCTCACCACTGACAACATACTACTACTTGGGGACTCCAGGCAGGTGACATTGGCCAGCATGGGCCTGCTTTTCTCAAAAGGGAAGGGGCAGGTTGTAATGGCCCTGAGCTCATTCAGGTATGCTGAGTATTGAGTACGTTCACAGCACCATGCTGGGCACATAGCAGGCATCGTGTAAATGCTTATTAAAGAGACAAGCCAGGGAGAGCCCCCTGCCCCATGAGTCCAGTGATTCTGGCTACAATCTACTTGCTTTGAAGCCTTAGCCCTCTGGGGACCTCCAAAGGGCTCCTGTGTGTGGCTATTGTTTACCAGCTTGGGTGTGGCCTTGCAGGGCCTCAGAGAGGGAACCTGGCAAGGGGTGCCTGCCTGCCCATCCACAGGAAGGGAGGGGACAGACAGATTTTCTTTCTTTTACCCTTTCAATGGCTTCCTGACTGGCCTTTGTCCTGGGTGTCCATCTGTCCATCAAGGGAAAAGAAACAAGAGTGCCAGGGACACAAAGGCCTGGAGGAAGAAAGGCAGCCAGGGAGGGGTGTCCGACAGGAGAGGCCCTCCCTCCTTCCGCCTTGTGGAATGCCACCACTGTTTGGGTTGTTAAGTATCTCCAGACACTCCCTGTAGACCTTGACAGAGGGCGAGGTCAGAGTCCCCCTTGAAGCCTCAGCCACAGTTGCCAACTGGGAGGTAGGACAGATGACTGACAACTCCAGCTGACTCTCTGGGCCAAACACCTCCTTGCTCTGTAGCCTCAGTGCTGGGTACCTAAGCCTATCCAGTTGAAGGCTCTCATCTATCGGTAGAGACCAAGTCTATAGAGGGACAGTGGCCCCAGCTGCTAGGCACTGTGCTTGAGTTCCCCTCTAAGGAGCTTTACTCCCTAGAAAGTGATGGCCTCCCTTGCTTGGGTCTGCCACCCTTTGTAAAGGCCAACTGCCCAGCAGTGCTGTGACCTAACAGCTCATGGGACTAGGCAGAGGGCACTGCTACCAGTTCCTTCCTTACCCCCGACTCTGGCCTTTGGGACACACAGTGTCTCGTGGATCACCCATAAGCTGGGCCTTCACCATTCTGGCCATGACCTTAGAGAAGTTCCCACCCACCTCCTCTCAAGTCACCCTCAATCAGGCTGTGTGTGCCTTGACAACCATTTGCTGTCGTCTGAGTGTATTGAGCCTCACGCATCCCCTGACAAGGGCTGCGGTGACCCTTGTCCTCGTTTCATAGGAGGAGGAAGCCAGGCCCAGAGAGAGTCCTCACTGTGTCCATATCTCTCAGCAAGAGAAGGCCCAGAACTGGAGCTGAGGAACTTCTCTGTGTGTCCCCAGGCAGGCCCTGAACGCTCCCTCCTCAGCCTCCTGAGTACTGGCAGTACAGATGTGCACTCACACCTGGTTCTGACTTTTTTTTAATGCGTGTGGGTATTTTCCTACATGTGTGTGTGTGCCTGGTGCCTGCGTTAGACAGAAGAGAGCATGACATCCTTTGGATCCAGAGTTTCAAATAGTCCCGAGCTGCCCAGTGGATGCTGGGAGCTGATCTCAGGTCTCTGTAAAAGCAGCTAGTTCTTTCAACCACTGAGTACTCTCTCCAGCCCTCTGATTGTTTACCCCAGCGTCACACTGACAGTGTAATAGCAGCCGGTATGTGCTGAGCGCCATGTGACAGATACCGCGCTGAGCTGTTGCATACACCCTTGGTAGGTGATGCTCAGTTGTGTGTTGTCTGTATTTTTCCCCCCTAGTGATCAGCTCTTCAAAGCAGGGAGGATTTGTTTTCCATCTTGCCTGCTTTTTTAAATTCCATGTTTAGAAGAGCTATGTAAATTAGCCTAGGAGTTAAATTTTTTTTCAGCTCTAAGCTAGATCCTTATGTCCTATTTAGGAAAGGTGACAGAGGCTCAGAGGGGTTAAGTAACATGCTGAAGGTCACACAGCATGTCTGCAGCGTCCTTGCTGCTCCCAGTGTGCCCTGCTGCCTTTGAGAGAAGAGGATATCTGTACTTCACTGCAGCGAGGACGCTCCCAGGCCCGCCTGACCCCCTCTAACCCCTACAGGTCGTCTACTTCACCGCCACTTTCCCGTTTGCCATGCTTCTGGTGCTGCTGATCCGTGGACTCACCCTGCCGGGTGCTGGCGAAGGCATCAAATTCTACCTGTACCCTGACATCAGCCGCCTCGAGGACCCACAGGTATGGCAGGGTGGTGCGCAGGGTGCAGATGGCTGTGTTTTCTGTGGCTCTTCATGCCGGGCGTTGATGCCTGGTACTTCTCCACTGGGCCCGTGGTGGCTTGTGGCCCTTCCAAGCTCCAGAGCCTGCCTCAGGCATGGCACTGGCTAAGGCCATGCCAGGAGCAGGGACTCAGTATTCAGGAAGGCATCCTCAGATGAGGGAGGGATTTAGGATTGATTGGCAGCCCTGAAGGTTAAGGGGGTCAATCCCAGCACATAGCTGTGAGGGGCGTTGGGAGTTTGTGAGACCCAGGGGACTTTTGTATACCCTTTGAGGCCCTTGTCCCAGGATCCCACGCTGTTCAGTTGCCTCCCAGGGGCCAGCATTTCTGGGTTTCTTGTAGGGCAGGGTTGGTGGCCAGCCTGAGCTATGAACTAGGAAGGTAGGCTTGCTGTCTTCTAGAGCTATGGGAGATAGTGCCTGGAGAGGTAAACAATGCCTTGTGTTCTAACTCAGGTCCCTGGACTTAGCCATCAAAGTTGTCTTGACCTGGGAGTTGACCACAGTGACCTCAGAGTAGACAGAGTAAAGACCACTGTTTACTGCGTGTGGGAAGTCACGTTGAAGGGCAGGGTAGGGGGTACATTCTGTAGACATGAAAACCAAGGCTCCCAGAGTGGTTCTAGTGGTCTAGTCTCGTAACTGATTCACAAAGAGGAGGCTATGCCTTCTGGGGCTCCTTGCGGCTCATCAACACCGAGGATCCCTATGGTTGGTCAAAAATCCTCACATTGTCAGGCCCCCCTGCACACCCTAATGCTCTTCCCCTCCCTCTCAGGTGTGGATCGATGCCGGAACCCAGATATTCTTTTCCTATGCCATCTGCCTGGGGGCCATGACCTCACTGGGAAGTTACAACAAGTACAAGTATAACTCGTACAGGCAAGTGTTGCGCTGGCGGGCCCGGTGAATGTTAGAAATGATGATTAAAGAAAAAGAGAAGTAGGGAGCGTGGCTTCCTTGTGTTGTGATTAACTTACCCCCTGACGTGTGTGTAACTTAGGGACTGTATGCTGCTGGGATGCCTGAACAGTGGTACCAGTTTTGTGTCTGGCTTCGCAATTTTTTCCATCCTGGGCTTCATGGCACAAGAGCAAGGGGTGAACATTGCTGATGTGGCTGAGTCAGGTACGGTGGTGTCGGTGGCAGTGGTGGTGGGCACTGCCACCTAGTGTGTAAGATGAGTACTGCAGGCATGGAGCCAGACCCCAGGGGGATGGAGGGAGCCTGCCTTTTACATAGACATCCCCTCTCCCCTCAAGATGTGCCCCCATACCTGAGTACAAAAACTACATTTAAAGGTTTCCAGTGCATCCTGGCCCACTGAAGGTGGGAGGAACAAGGGCGGTTGAGAAGGGAATTGGTGGCTGTTTTAGTCGTGGTCTTCCAGCCCCTAATCCTTCTCCAGCAACCGCTGGCTGTAGCCATGGAAGTTGCTTTCCAACTGAGACCCAGGTCAGCCACAGCTAGCACACTATCGCCAGCGCTGCTGACATCTTAGCCTCCATTTCTGAGGTTTGCACTCTGCTCCTGGCGAGCCCCACCACCAGGCCGATCCACTCTTCAGTCCTTCCTATGTCTGTTTGCCAAGTCTCATCCCTACAGTCACCAGGAGTGAGAGGGCAGGGAGGAACACCACCCAGGGACCATGACAGAGCCGATTTGGGAGTAGGATAGGAGGACTCTGTTACCCTTAGGGAACGGGGGCCAGTTGGTCCCATGTTGCTACTCAAGACACCTGAGGTCACAAGATGGTTGGTCAGTCTCAGGAATGTGTCCTTCCTTAGCAACATGGGACCCCGAGTTCAGTAAAGATGGTTCTGGAACATGGACTAGAATCCTACCATCTCATCACAGTGTTTAGGAGTCTGGGTTTGTGGACTGGGCCTTGGCCTAACCCTGCAGCTTAGCCTTGTAGTGGCTGGGGTTCTGGGGTAGAGATCCCCAGGGGCCACCTCCTCACCACCCAGTTCTCTTGTAGAGTGGTATTGTCTAAACTTAACCGAATTTGCCTTCTGGAGGCTGCCAAGGGCTTTGGGCTGGAGTTCCCTTCAGGCCACCGGGATAGGGTGGGATGGGGGGCAGACTATGCATCATTATTCTAGGGATTTTTGCAGACCAGGGGCAGGGACCCTAAGTCCCTGTCATTCTCTGTCCTTGGACCTCCTTATGTTTGAAACTCAAGGTCATGTCCCAGTTCCCCAGTCCTGAGCCCTGGTGTTGGAACGTCACAGGGTACTTCCACACGGTGTGTCTAGATATTCATGTCGCACATGAGACCAAGGGCCCAACTCGGGACCCTTGCTTGAGTGGGTTGGGGCAGGCTAGGGCCACAGGCAGTGTAGCTGGACACTGAGTCTCCACCCACTGCATGTCCGTGGAGCCCTCTACTGTAGCCGTTTCCCTTCTCACTGGCTCCTCTGACCTCAGGCACCCTCCGTCCTCTGTTGGCTGCTGGGCTCTAACTCAGATACGTCCCCCCCCCAGTATGAACTCCACACTGTACGCACATCTATTACACTATGTCCCAGTTGGTCACTCGCGAGAACTGTTTGCCCGTCCTCAAGGGCTCCAAGGCAGGGGCTGGGGGCCCAGGAGTTTGTACCACAGCCTCCTGTGCTGGAAGTTGTATAGCAAGGTGCCTAGCCCTACTTCCAGCCTCTCTGCAAATGGCCCTCTTTCCACTTGCACACGCAAGGAGACTCCAAACCAGTAACTGGGTGTCACCAAGGGCACGGAGGAAGCTGATTAGGGGAGGAAGATGAGGCCCATCGAGGGGACCTTTGTGCACAATGGGTATTTTCATGCATATGTGTCCTCAGTCACAGTTGTTTCTTCTTCCATCTACTTCAAAAGCCTTCCGCACAGTCATGTCTGCCAGCCAGCACAGCGAGGACGACAGTGATCCCATAAGATTTTTAGCAAGCGCTACAGCAAAGAAAAGCACCTTTTGAACGAGCTAAGGGACGCCCAGCCAGGACGTGGCATGCTGTACTGGCAGGGCATCGGAATGGCCTAAGCATTCTCGGCTTCTGTTCTCCCAAGCTCACTGTCGCCTTAGAGAAGGGTCCTCAGCCCCTCTCCTGAGGCTGGCCTGAGAAAACTTTAAGTGAAAGACAGAGGAAATAAGTGAACTGAGTCTGCTCACAGTGTCTGGTGCAGAGGTGTTGGGGTGGGGTACCACAGTTTACATCTGTCTTGTAATTAGCTAGTCCTGATTCCTCATTTTTGGGATGGACCAGGCAGGGCTGGAGCTTTGAAATTTCAGGGGACCAGAATGCTTTCAGTTTTGACTTGATCCTAAGTGTGTTTCATGATGTTCCGAGTGGGAGGCTGCTGCTCTGCACCTAGCCCTCTCTCCTCGTTCTTGCTCATTCCGCCTTGGTAAGCGGCCCCACCTTAAAGAATCTTCTAGAATCTTTCTACCAACCACTCAGCGGCTGCCCCCACCCCCGTCACTGTTCCAGTAAGGTCTCTCAGGCCTCCCTGCTGCAGATATGGCTGTTGATGCTTTACTAAGTGAATTCTGGCTCCAGTTTTTTGTTTTTGTTTTTCAAAATTGGTTTGTTTTTGTGGATTTTTTTTTCTTCTTAAGCTATTCACTCGGTTTTGATGGTTGCTTTAAAGTACAGAGCGTCTTCCAAGTCTCCTGCAGTCTGGCCTGTATTTCTTCTTGATTGGTTTGTTTTGTTTCTAGTAGTTGATTTCATTTTAGCTTTTCAGCCCAGAAGTACTAGCTAGATAATGTGCCCCCCCTCCAAGCATCTTCTTGGGGGCTTTTACAAGCAGATGTTTGTGTTCAAATGACTCTGTGAGCCACTCTGAGTGGGCGGGGCTCTTGTCCCCCTTTGCCTCTGGGAGGGCCAGAGCTTCCTGCTGGTAAGAATCCGTAGCCCTTTTCTGGGCAGTGGTATCCACCTCTGAAGATGGAAACAGAAGGATCCTGGGGCCAGCTGACCCTCATGTTTCGGGTAGAGGAAACTGAAGCCTGGAAAAAGATAGAGAGGACGTGGTGGGTGGGTGAGGACTGGGGTGGGGTTTGTCCCACCCCATGCTGCCTCCTTCAGTGCCAGGCCTGGCCGTTCTACCTTGCCTAGTGTGACCTTGGGTACCTGTGGGGGCAGGAGGCTCCATAGGCATGCCCCCTGAAAAGTCATTTGCCCCACTGGGCATGCTTCTAAATTTTTTTTTGTTTTTCCTTTCCATTTAAAGAGTGTTTTAGCCATTAACCCAAAAATAGAAGCCGTTCTTTGCAAAGGAGGGAGTCACGAGTCACATAACCACGGCTTTCCTTCTAGCCAGCGTCAGTGTGCGGCTTTGGTTGTGTGAGGGGTGGGTCCTCCTTTCCTCAGTCTCTGGCCGCCTGAGCCCCAGGCTCAGTCCTGCTCCCTGCCCCTAGGATCCTGTGTCTGTCTGGGTTTAGATTCACCCAAGAGGAGGCCATGTACTGGGTAGGAGACAGATGCTTGCCTGGGGCCCCTCCCACGCCCCACCAGTCTCTTTCCCTGGCTCCTCCTGCACTTTGGGCTTAGGTGACCCTCTCCTCACTCAGACAAGAGTGATCTGTGAGGCCCAGGGTTCTAAGTGACATGGTGCTGATTGTATGTCCTCCTGTGCCCCCTCCCCGTTTCTCTCCCTTAGGTCCTGGCTTGGCCTTCATTGCCTACCCAAAAGCTGTGACTATGATGCCGCTGCCCACCTTTTGGTCCATTCTGTTTTTTATTATGCTCCTCTTGCTTGGACTGGACAGCCAGGTACGTGGATGTGGGGCTCTGGTGCTCATGTGGGCAGCCTCACTGTGAAACCCATCCTTAGAGAAGCTGGGGGATATTCAGACCCTTCCCCTCAGCGGTTTCAGCCAGTCTGAGAAAGGCCTCAGTCCAGTAGTGGGAAGAGACCCTCCACCCTATTGCTCCAGGAGATGAGGGTGACTGGGGCGTGTGGCTAAAGTCAAGCCATAAATGAGAAATAGAAGATCAGGACCCAGAGGTACAAATGTCAATGTATGTGTCAATTATTGTCCAGGCCACCACAGTCCCAAGTATGACTGAAAAACTGAGTCACATTTGACATACTGCTCCTGACTGAGGCCAGCCTGTTCCCCATCCTCTGGCTGCTTTAACGTCTGCCTTATCTGCATGTTTTTGCTTTTTTAATAAAACCAGGCTTCACATGCACTAAAGCATGGACTCTGCCCTAAGCCATACCCCCTATCCCAGCCATTTTCCTGTGCTCTAAACCCTACATCCTGCCTCAGCCCCTGCTAAGGCTCCATAGGAGGCAGTTCACTACCAGGAAATGTTGGTGTCAGCCATCTGCTGCATCTAGCTCAGGAGAGGTAGCATTGTTGTGTGTGACGATGGCCACATCCATCATCCTCCCTCTGAGCCTCAGTTGCCTAATCCTGCTAATGGGTATAGTTTGTGAAGCATGAGGCTCAGCGCCAGGCATAGAGAATTCAGGTGCCCGAGAGATCCATGGGAGATTATGGGTCTCTTTCCCTGAAGAGGGTGTCTTTTTGTGAGGGTATTTTTGAGACTCCAGGAAGAGAGACTGTGGAGTGTGCAGGGCAGGAGGTCGTGAGCTCAGGCCAGCTAGAGAGAGACAGGAAAGGCAGGAGAAACTCCTGTGTGGCCTGGATTTGGGGATCCAGCTGCTTCAGGAGAAGTCTGTCAAACTGAAAATAGGCTATGGGATCAGGTCTGGATACTGACTCCTCGCCCTTCTCAAGGGTATAGCATTGGAAAGCACTGTCAGGATGGGTCCTGGGGGATTCAGAACCAAGCAGAGGTTGAGTAAGTCCAGAGGAGACAGCAAGCAAGGTCAAGAACACAGTACAAGACTTGGCAGCCAAGGGGGTCAGATTAGCAGAGAAGACAGTGAAAACTTTTCGGAGTCAGAAAAGCAAATCGTTGTGCAGTTGGTGATGGGCAGCTGCTGTTGTAAACAAGCAAGATTCTGTTAATCATTCCTGCTCTGAGAGCTTGCCCTGGGAGCAGACCCCATGCAGTGCCTTTTAGAGGCTTTTAGAACATCTTCCAGGGCTCAGAGGGGAAGAGGAAAACAAAAACACAAGTTAATAAGTGGCTGAGCGTGACATCACCATGGCTCCAAAGAGGCCTTGCAGGCTCACAACCTTCCCAGCCGGAGGTGCCACGGGTGTTTTCCCCTGGGGGAGTGGGGCTCAGTGCAGGATGTGTGACTCTCAGCTGAGCCACGGGCTAAGCGGGGAATCTTGAGGGACTGTGGAAGCTGGCCTTGGGATGTTCCTCTTTACCCTGCCTTGCAGAGCAGGTCTCCCAAGGCTTGGTGCTTAAGTGACTTGATGGCATCATCACTCACTCAGGCACAGGTGAGCAAGGAAATAGACCGCTGGCCTTCCAGACACTGGCTTACAGAACCTGGAGAAATAGGAGGGCTTTGGAGAAGCCAGCCTTCCATGGCAGTGCAGAGAGTCCACTGTGCAAGATACCACCAAGTGCCAGAAGTCACATGGCCGGTTTTTCCATGTGCAGCTGTTGGCACTGAGCACGTCTAATGTCAGGCTTTGTCCTGGAATCTTTTCTATCCTCCCAAATTGAGGTTGTTCCCCAAGCTTTGCACCAACAGTTTTCTTTCTTTGTAGTGCCAGCAATGGGATGTAGGGCTTTGCCCGTGCTAAACACATGGGCACTGCACTCAGATTTTTATACATTAGCTCCTGTCCCTGCAGTGCCCTGACCTGGGTGTCACTGTTGCCCTTTCTGTAACAGGAGATAGCGAGGCTGAGAGGTGCCCATCTTGGCTCTGGGTCACAGCCTTTCATCTTAACTTTTTTTGTAGCTTGGCATCGGGGCTACCGGCTCACCATAACTCAGTTGTTTTTCAGGTTCAAATCCCCTTTGGGCACATCAGTCAGATCATAAAGTTCACCTCTCTCTCTGAGCTTAGGAACCTCTTGGTCATCTTATCCATGAATCGGGGCTGCAGAGTGCCACTCCTTCTGGCACATGAAAGGCCCGTTTCTCTCTGTGCCCATTCTATGTTCTCCCTTACCACCTCCCAAAGGCCTCCATGATTGGATCTTTCTCGTAGGAATGCTGGGGGAGCTTCCCAACCTTTTTGTCTTTTCAAGACAGCATTTCACGTAGACCAGGCTGGCCTCAAATTCACTGTGTAGTCAGGTCTGACTTTGAACTGATCCTCCTGCCTCTACCTCCTGAGTGCTGGGATTACAGGTGTGCACTACCATGCCTGGTTAATGCCATGCTGCTGATCAAACCCAGGGCCTTTGCATGCGAGGTGAGCATGCTGCCAGGTGTTTATGTCCCCAGCCTTTAGCATCTCAGCCTCAATGACTCAGTGCAGTCTGGGTACAGCTCCTCTAAGTTACTGCTAAGACCTTGTTACAGACTTGTATATTCATGCCCAAAGACTGATGACAAGGAATGTTGTTGCCAATGTCATTGATTGGGTGAAGGGTGATGTGTCCAGAGGGTGCAGTTTTATGCTGCTATTAAAAGCAGAGTGGCTCTTTGTATAGGATCATAGCAGTCTCCGAGATAAATCATTTGGTACCAAAAGGAGGGAAAGATGTGGAAAGACGGATAAGCATCCTCTAGACCATGATTTCCAGTGTGTTTAAGCCACCCTGTGAGTCAGACTTGAAGTGCCTTCTGTGTTGTGGATGGGAAACTGAGGCCAGGGTTTGCTCAGAGTCTCCCAGTTGGTTAGTACAGAGGCTGACCTGCTTGGCATGCTGTGGTTGAGTGGCCGTGTGAAGGGCGAGGCTAGCTAGGCTAAGCATTTCATTGCCTTGATGTGTGTGGCACTGGGCTTGACTGACCATGGAGAATGCTGTCATGGCCACACACTCACCCTCAAGTGTGTCAGGACCAAGAGCCAACCCTGGCTTCCTAGAGAAGCTGCTGCAGTGATGAGGGCAGGTATGACCTGAGCAGAGCCGTATGTCTCCAGTTTTTTGGACTACAGACCACAGTGGCTGCCTGCACAGCCCAGAGTCTGGCTACGTGGATTTCCAGGTAGGTCTCGTGAGATGTTGCCCAGGACACAGGACAGGGCTCCTGCTCCTATCTTTTGTCGGATGTGCCCAACCTTCCTTCTGAGTTCCAGGCCAGTGCTGAGCTTCCTCACGACCCTTCTCTCTTCTCATCCCTTAGTTTGTTGAAGTCGAAGGACAGATCACATCCTTGGTTGATCTTTACCCGTCCTTCCTAAGGAAGGGTTATCATCGGGAAATCTTCATCGCCATCCTGTGTAGCATCAGCTACCTGCTGGGGCTGTCGATGGTGACGGAGGTAGGTGGCTGTTACTCTGGACGGCATGAGGGATTTCCCTTCCTACGTTTGGATTTGATACCCTGCCTCCTTCTCAAGGGTACAGGGGAGGCAGCTGCGAGGGGAGTACTTAGCATACCTCCTTGGGCTTGGCTCCCCAATCCTTAATCTGTCCAGCTCTCAAGGACCTTGCAGCTTCCCCCACACTCTCTTTTGAGATGCTGTGGTCAATCAAGGCCCTGGCACTTGGTGTTGCAAGTCGTTTGTGTGGGTGTCTGCTGAGGAGAACACCCGCTATGGCCAGAGGGCAGGGCCCATACTTTAAATAGGAAGAAATGACACTGAGAGGAAGGGAACACAGGGTTGAAGGCTAGAGGTGGCAGCAGCTGAAGAAGGGAAAGACACGAGGGGATGAGCCCCAGGACACCAACCTGCCTGAGTTCTCTAGAAGGTTGCCAATCATTACCCCAAACCCTGTTCAGGCCTTCACCACTCTTCTTTACCAGAAGGAGAAACTTAGGGAAGTGCTTGTAGGAACACCCCTCTTAAAGTCAGATAGCATCTACCCACCAAGCAGTGGGTTCCCTGGACTTGGCCACGCTTGGGTTTAAGACCATCTGTCTGTGTAGACTTCTGTGACTCTTTGTGTTGTTAAGACATGTTATACTCGTCCCTAACCCTGTGTGTTTTGTCAAACATGAAGTTGAATTTGTTATATAGCCCTAACTGGCCTCGAGCTTACAGCAATTCACTTATCTTGGCCTTTAAGAGTATTTGTTGTAGGTTACATGAACCACCACACTTGGCCCTGAATATTATCTTCCTCCTCTCTTCTTCTCCTTCTCTTTAGAATGAAAAAAAAGAAGAAGAAAGTATTGATTTGTCACAGGGAAGGGAATTGGGGACCATATAGCAAAATAACTTTATCTTTGTTTTTCTTCCTCCACAGGGTGGCATGTATGTGTTTCAACTCTTTGACTACTATGCAGCTAGTGGTGTATGCCTTTTGTGGGTTGCATTCTTTGAATGTTTTGTTATTGCCTGGATATATGGTGAGTGTACATGTTTACACAACCTTTTTCAAGCTGTTCATTTGGTCAGAGACTCTAATGGAAAAACTTCCCTTGCCTGAAATGTTCACTCTGGGATGTCCCTTGAGCATATCACAGATAATCCAACTGAAAGCACAAGGTGTGAACATATGTGGCTATAAATATAACCCTGTCACACAAGAACCCATGGTGACCTACCCTTTGGCCTAGAAATGGTCCATTTTGACCTCTCAGAGAACTGAGGTTGGCCACACTGAGATGTTGGCTCTGTCTGAAACTTCCAGCAAAATGCAGATACCCAGCCACATTTGAGTGTCAAGCTACCTTAGACACACACAGCCATGCTTGGTGTGGAGACACAGGCCTGGTGGTTAGAGGCCCCCAGCTGACCCCTGTTGCACTGTTCCCAGGGCTATTCTGGCTTTGGCCACCATGTCACCAGGGGCCCACTGTTGTCTTTCATAGGCGGTGATAACTTATATGACGGTATTGAGGACATGATTGGCTATCGGCCTGGGCCCTGGATGAAGTACAGCTGGGCTGTCATCACTCCAGTTCTCTGTGTTGTAAGTCTCACCCAGCCTGACACTCTCACCTTGTGAGCCTGATTAGCATTTCCTGGGTGTGGACTGTGACCAAGTCAACTTCAGCTATACCTGGGAGAGTGGGTGGGGGGGCAGGTTGAGTAGGGTTTTGTAGGACCAATAGGAGTTTGTGAAAAAGAGGAAACAGGAAGGGCAGTTCCAGGGACAGTAGGCCAGGCCATCTTGGAGCTGGCCTTATGCTTGCATGGGTACCTTCAGCAGGGTCCTTCCCTAAGACTCTGCTGTGAGCACCATTGAGCATCCTGGTGTGTGGGAGTCCCACCTACACTGTCATCCTGGCCAGCACCTTGAGTCCATATGTGCTTCACTTTAGAACCAGTGATTAGGGATTAGTGTGTCCCCTTTCCTGTGACCTCTACTCCCAGGCCAGACCAAGTAGACACTAACTCACTTCCCTATCTGGGCCTCAGTCTCCCCACCTCTGTGACAAGGACATCCTGATGTGGGACTTCAGTGGCAGGTGACAGTTTAGAGTCTGATGAGTGTGATCGTGGCTCTTGATACACACATCTTCCAACAAAGTCAGGAGATCACCAATAGGAGGCCCAGCCCACACAGAGATGAGGTCAGCCGGGGCTCAGGCCAGCACGCCCATTTTCCCTCACACCAGGCTGTGCTTGGGGTCCCTCTCACACCGAGCCCGGCTTCCTTCTCTCTCCTCTCTGGAGAGTTGCCCAGACCAGAGGCGGACTGTACTCTGAGACAGAAAGAGGTTCCCTGCTGGACAGGCTAGGTAGAGCCCACAGCCACCACCAGTGGGGTTCCCGTCACCCAAGCCATGGCTTTCTAGGCAGAAAGCATCAGAGAAAGGTAGGCCGTGTGGACCACCTATCCTCACCTGCACTGCTACTTCCCATCAGACCTGTTGCTAGGCAGTGAGTAGCTGATGGATCGCACATGTGACCCTCCCCGGGGCACCTCTTTCTAAGGAGAAGGGTCTGGGGCAGTCCCCCAAGAGGTTCCCTCAAAGGCAAAGGTGGACTCTGCGCAGCTTTAGGGTTCAGGGTTCACCCCTGAACCTACTCTCCAGAACCAAGGCCAGGTCCACACTCTGTCCCTGGAACCAGATCTGGTGGCCAGTGTGCCAAGAGGCTATGGCATTGAGGGTGCTGGCTATCTGGCTCTCAGCCATGCCTTAGACATTTATTGAGCCTAGAACTGTATTTGGTGTTAAAGAGAGACGCTCTAGAATATCGCTTCTCAACCCTCCTAATGCTGTGAACCTTTAATACAGTTACTTCCTCGTGCTGTGGGACCCCCAACCTTAAAATTATTTTCACTGTTACTTCATAACTGTAATTTTGCTACTGTTAGGAGTTGTAATGTAAATAATATCTGTGTTTCCCGATGGGAAAGGGTCGTTTGATGCCCCCCTCTCCCCAAAGGGGCTGAGAACCACTGCTCTAGAGGGAGGGAAAGTGCTGAGCTTTGGGTATCAGAGTCGCATGACTTCTGCAAAGAAGAGATGGAACCTAGGCAAGCCAGTGCACTGGATTGGAAGCAGGGAGAAAAGAAAGAAAGGAGAGAGAGAGAGAGAGAGAGAGAGAGAGAGAGAGAGAGAGAGAGAGAGAGAGAGAGAGAGAGAGAGAGAGAGAGAGGAGAGAGAGAGAGGAGAGAGAGAGAGGAGAGAGAGAGGAGAGAGAGAGAAAAAGAAAAAGAAAAAGAAGGAAAGAAAGAAAGAAAGAAAGAAAGAAAGAAAGGGAGGGAGGGAGGGGACAGACAGGGGGACAGCCTGTGGGAAGGCCCTGAGCACACACTAAAGAGCTAGTAAGAGTCCTGAGGGGTGGGGGCAGATGACAAAGGAGGTCATAGCTATGGGCTGATGTGGTTGGTATTCCAAAGGACCTGGGGAGCCATGGAAGGGTGTTGAACAGGTGATTTACCCTGGAGCGACCTATAAAGCATAATACCATCCCATCTCTGTAGTAAGGATAAGGGAGAGGCCCTGCCCCAGATAATGCCCACCCTGCTCTCAAATGCCTAGGGATCCCCTGATTGCCCTGTGCGTGTCTCCACAGGGATGTTTCGTCTTCTCTCTTGTCAAGTATGTACCCCTGACCTACAACAAAGTCTACGTGTACCCGGATTGGGCAATTGGGCTGGGCTGGGGCCTGGCCCTTTCCTCCATGGTGTGTATCCCCTTGGTCATTGGCATCCTCCTCTGCCGGACGGAGGGACCGTTCCGCGTGGTGAGTATGAGACATGGGCAGTGGGGGTGGAGGAGAGCCAGTGCCAGTTCCTACGGGACCCTCTCCAAGTCCCAGGTCTTCTGTCACTGCACAAAACCCAGGAGATCCAAAGCAGGAGTACGCTGTGGGTGAACAGGGACAGGCGCCATTCACAGGGGAAAAGGCTTTGTGATGACATTTAAAGTGGCTTAAGAGGAGGTGTCCAACAGAGTATGAGGTAGAATGTGGCCTTGGTGTTGGATACAAAGTGCTGATGGCCAGGCTAGAGAGGGGACAGTGGCCTCACGTGCCAAGCTAAAGGGTGTGGGAACTGTGTTCTGAGTCAGGACAGGAGATGGGCTCTGGAGAGGAAACCCAGCACCACCCCACGGGGCTACCCTCTGTGCTGGGGTGTGCTGCCCCTCTGTGCTGGGGTGTGCTGCCCCTCTGTGCTGGGGTGTGCTGCCCCTCTGTGCTGGGGTGTGCTGCCCCTCTGTGCTGGGGTGTGCTGCCCCTCTGTGCTGGGGTGTGCTGCCCCTCTGTGCTGGGGTGCGCTGCCCCTCTGTGCTGGGGTGTGCTGCCCCTCTGTGCTGGGGTGTGCTGCCCCTCTGTGCTGGGGTGTGCTGCCCCTCTGTGCTGGGGTGTGCTGCCCCTCTGTGCTGGGGTGTGCTGCCCCTCTGTGCTGGGGTGTGCTGCCCCTCTGTGCTGGGGTGTGCTGCCCCTCTGTGCTGGGGTGTGCTGCCCCTCTGTGCTGGGGTGTGCTGCCCCTCTGCCCTGCTCCCAGCCTCTAGGGCTGCTTGTCTCCTCCTGGCACCTCCCCCTCCCTTCCCAGCCTCCCCAGGAATTCTTCCCACAAGGCAGGAGCCTCCAGGCCTGGCAGTCCCCTGCTCTTTCCACGAAATCCCTTTCTTAGAATCTACTTTAACCTTTGTGCCTGGGCCGGCTCCAAGGCCCCAGTTTTATTCTGGGCTGTTTTTATTCTCTTACAAAAAGAATCTGGAGCCAGGATGTCCTGGGGCTCTGCCTCCCCCCTGAGCTGGCCCAGGCTTCCTCCCTTGGAGGGGGCTGTGTTGGCTGGGAGAGGAGAGGAGAGGAGAGACAGACAGGGAAGGAGCCGGGGGCACATACTGGCCTGGGGCCCTGAGGCTCTCCTGGAGTATAGAGGATTGGGGCTAGGAGCCCAGCTCCCCCACCTTAAGCCAGAGTCTAAGTCTCTCTGTTGTTTGTATGGGAACACTGGATCCCAGGACAGACAGGCTTCCGCTTTGAGCCCTTCAGGTGGCTCCTGGTGCCCTGAGCCAACCTGGGTTACCATCCTAGGGGTTTCTAGACATCTGCTCAGGTTAGACAGCTTCTGTAGCAGTAGCTAAAGCTGGGGCAGGGTCTCTTGAAAACCCAACTGTTTTTTTGAGACAGTGTCTGAATCTATAGGTTGAGCTGGCCTGAAACTCATCCTCTTATATAGCCCAAGTTGGCCCAAACACTCAATACTCTGCCTCAGCCTCCCTAGTGCAGGAAGCCCCACTGCCCGACACAAGGCCTGATTTTAAGAGGCTGGCCTGGCCCATATGCAGACAGGTTCATTCCGAGTGAGCTGCTGGGGGGAGGGAGGAGCAGTGGGGGCAAAGACATCTCCCCTCAGCCAGATCAAGTCAAAGCCCCTCCGGCAGCACAAGATGTCCAGGTGGCCTCCCCATTGCAAGGTATCTAGTGGCACACCTGGATCTCTAACCGGACCAGGGTTCCAGACTTCCCATGTGGACAGCCCTGGTGGCTGGTGGCCACCAGTGATGGGGGCCAGCTCCCCACTTTGCACGTGGAACCCAATGTCCCGATGTAGGAGAGGCAGGCTAGGTCTCTGGGGAGGATTGCAGGTCTGCTAACCTGCTTAGGAACCACACAGCTGGGGTTACCAGGTTTTGTGGGCTCTTCCAAGAGTGTAGATCCTCAAGTGAAATAATGTCTTTTTTAAATAAGGTGCTTCGCCCCAGCCCCTTGGCAGTGCCAGGGAAAACTCAAGGCCACACGTGCAGGCTTTGAGCAGTTTTTCCAGCTGTAATACGCCATAGTTGAATGTAAATACCTATGAGGGCCTTTTTTGCTCCCTTCTTGATTTTTTTTTTCCTTGCTGGCCCATTTCAGTCTCATCAGGCACTTGGCAGGAAGTGGGCAGGAGGCGGGAAGTGAGAGCCAAGTTCCATTCCTAGCTCTGCTGGTGACTTCCAGGAGTCCCTGGAGAGGGCTTGTCTCTCACCAATTCCTGGGAAGTCTGGGCTCCATGCCTAGAGGGTCTGAGGATTCTCCCACTGTCTCCTGTCTGGAAGGGCAGGACCCTCCGTGCAATGAGCTCCCAACCCTGCAGGAGAAGAAGCTGCCTGTGAGGAACTGCCTCACGAAGGCAGGAAACAGAGGCTCTGGGAGGCCAAGGAGTACAAATGTCTCCTTGGAGAAGGGGGGGGGGGCTTAGGTTAGTTACCCAACCGGAAGACTTGCCATAGAAGCAGAGAGTTGGAGCAACCAGAGTGAATAAACCACAGGGAGACAGGACCTGGCTCCTCAGGAAAAGCTCCTGCGTGTGGAGGCTATGCGTAGGCCCTGTCTTAAGCACATGCACAGGAGTTGGCTGTGGAAACCACTGTAGGATATCAGGCTTTTTCCCCTCCATTTTCAAAAATCTCCAAAGGCCCAGAATGGGTGGCAGTTGGCCGGGTGCCACATAGCAAGCATACCTGAATACGCTAGGGCGTTCAGGAGGTGCACCAGGAGGAACCCTTTTGGTTCCCTCTTGACCCCTCCTCCTCTTTTTCTACAGAGAATCAAATACCTGATAACCCCCAGGGAGCCCAACCGCTGGGCTGTGGAGCGTGAGGGGGCCACACCTTTCAACTCCCGCGCAAACCTTGTCAGGAACGGCGCACTCATGAAACCCAGTCACGTCATCGTGGAGACCATGATGTGAGGTCCTGGCCATATGACAGGCGCCACTTTCCTGCTGTTTACTAACATTAGATTCTCATAGGACCAGGTTTACAGAGCTTTATATTTGTACTAGGATTTTTTTTAATTGTCACAGAAAATGTTACTCTATGTGTATGTGTGTGTATCATGTGTCTGTATAAGTGTACTTTGTTTTGATTTGGGGGATATTTTGTACAAAAAGAACCTACAGGCCTATGTCCTGGGGAGAGGATGGGCTTTCTTATTGATTTTGATGTATTTTATGGGAACTTGGTAAACTTTTCTTTGTATTTTTTTAACATATAATTATATATACTTACAGTCTGTTATACACTTTACCACTTGAATTGGTCATGCCAGCGATTTTCAAAAGCAATTCTTCGGTGCTTATATAGCTGGCAGAAAGTTCTGCCCAAAAACAAACAAAAAGAGAAAGAGATAAAAAATACTAAATGCTGGGTGGAATTTTCCTATGATGGTGGATATATCTTCAAGAAAGGTCTAGTCCCCTCTGGGCTGGTTCAGGAGGAAGAATGCAGCTGAGGAGAGGGAGCCCCGCTAGCTGAACAGACCTGAGGAGCAGGAGAGAATAGGGCTGTGGGGAGAACCCTCGCTCTTTCCCTGCCAACAAGAAAGATGCCAAAACAACAATCCCACCCTCAGCATGAAGGATTGATTTTAAGAGTAGCCGAAGCTATTGTACCAGGGCCAAACCCCCTCCCTTTTGTTTTGAAGTAGAGGGTGGGGACTCAGTGGGCTTGTCTGAATCACCGCTGGTCTTAGGGGCAGGAATGGGAAGTCTAGAAGGCAGATGAGAATGGGCCTGGGGGCTGGGAGCCTCGGCTGGCTTAGGCAGAAACCTCGGCCGTCCCCAGGAGCTGCCAGGGCTTTGGGGTGAGGATCACACACAAGAAGGGGCTGTTGTATTTGAATGGCGTCATGGCGGGTAGGGATCAGGGCATTCCCCAAGCAGAATGCATTTTGGTGAGGGCCAGGAGGGGGAAGCCAGTGGACCAAAGGATATTAGCAGCCCAGGGAGTTGAGTGTACCCCAGACTGGCAAGTGTACCCCAGGAGGGCACTTTCCTTCCTTGTCTCTCAACAAGCTCTCGTTAAAGATGCCACCCGAGGGCCATCCAGCTCCCAGCACAAAATGCTCAGAGTGGCTGTAGATGTAGGATTTAACCTAAAGTGAAGAGCCAACTTGGTAGTGACCTTAGATATTGTTTCCAAGCCACCACAGTGGCTGCTGGACAGGTGTTTGCCTCCTCTCCCCCAGGGAACTGAAGAGAGAAGACAAAGGGAAATTTGTAGGTTGAGGTTGTCTCCACAGAGACCAGTGCCCCAGACAGGGCTGTTTCCTTCTGAACCAGTAGAGGGCGCTACACCTTCACCCCAGCCTCCACTGGGCCCAACTGTGCCATCCAGAACCTCTTTTTTGACAAATGTACACATTTTTCTGTCTCCAAAGCAATGTACTCTGCCAAGTGACCCTCTAGTCCTCTTCCAGTGGTTGTTGAGTCAGCCACCCGTGGATACTACCGTGTTCCTATTGTCCTGTGTATTTCTGGTTGCTCTTGTGTTATTGTGACTGTTGGAGTTTTTCTTCCCCGATTTTACCAACTTGTAATGTGCCCCGTTTTTCTTTTGTTTTATGGAACCTTGAAAGTAACCACTGTGGGTGATTGAAGACAGGTAACGTGTAAGGGGAAGGGGGCTCATCCGGCTGCGGCAGCATCTACGGTCATGCCTGTCTACGCTTCCCCTCCACCAGGCACGCCACTCTGGTGAGCCTTCAGTATTTTGGGTTGGCGGACAAATGGCACCATTCTGGAAATGGCCTGAGAAGGCCTTTTTATCATTCCCAGATCAAGTTCTAGACCAAAGACGCAGCCGGCCAAGTCCCCAGGCCCCGCCTGGGTGGAAGGCCCGTCACCTCCAGAACCCACTCCCCAAAAGTGTCCCTGTACTTGTCTTCAATGCCTACCACTCTCACCCAGCCCCTGGCCCTGATGGCCCTTGCTGTGATGCTTGTGTTTCTATGTCTGCATGTAAGTAACATTTTGAAGTAGAGCTTGTGACTCTGGTCCACCTGCCTCTTGGAGAGAGGGCTAAGCGGTCCGCCAACCAGCCAGCCCTTGCCCGGAACAGGTCAGACTGCGCCCTGCCTGCCTGTTAGATGTGGGCAGGAAGCAAGGTACAATGTCAGTTTTAGATGAGGACCAGGGTGGGCCCGGGAGGACTCAACTGGGGGATGTTATTTGGTCCCAAGAGGTATGTTAGTCCCCAAGTGGAGGATCCCTGGTAGGCACGGTGGACAGTCCCAAAGGTCTCCCAATCCAAGGCACTTTTGTAAACAGGAAAACTGAGGCCTGGAGTAGAAGAGACCTGCATTGGGAGCTGAGTGGCCTGGATAATTGAGTCGTTTGTTGCTCTAGGCTCTCCAAGGTCTGGGCAGAAGGAAAGTAGGACCTGGGCATTGTTGAGTTACTGTCAGGCCTACCCTGACAGCCAAAGGCCAGACTGATAAGGGCTTTCTGCCCATGCTCACGGAGCAGAGAGCGGCACCCACTTCTGCCCATCCTCAGTCTCCTGCTCACCCCAGCCCCATGCTACCCTCTGTCCCCCCAAAGCCTTTAGGAGCTAGGAATTGATCATACACCCCATCCAGGAAACTAAGGGCCAAAGACACACCAGTGTGAAGAGCCTTAGGTAGGATGTAATGGCAGGCCTTCGGCCTCCATGCAGCCCAAGGCTATGCAGGAAGTAGCCTAAGGAGTTGGTGGGGAAGGTTCCCTCTGTGCTTCTGGCCCCAGTCCTCATATCCTAACACCCTGGAAGACCATGCAGACCAAGGCAAAGCATGAGGAGAAAGCAGCATGTTTTCCCTCTGCACAGGAAGGGCTTTCTGTATCGCAGGGTGTCACTACCCTGGCCGACAGCATTCCAGCCCTGCTCCTCTGGATGGACGGGGCAATGCTCTAGGCAACCAGTCTAAATAGGCACCGGTCGCGTTCCTCTCTCCAAGACGCAGACACAAGCCAGGAAGGCCCCTTAGAGAAGGCCCCTCTCAGTCCCATGCAATCCCGAGACCCCTGTCTCTATGGACACTGTAAATACCTCTGTGTGCACACCCCTCCTTCATCAAGTCTAAAACCACACACACACACACACACACACACACACACACACACACACACACACACACACACACACACACACACACCCCAGATACACCAAGATAGAGAGGGGCGTCCCGGAAGCCAGGAGTGCTCCTGCCTCCCCTCCTCCACGCTGACCTCCCAGTCGTTGGGTCTTCACAGGAAGCTGGTTTTCCATGTTCTTTAGGAGGGCTGTGGTGTCGTTACAGGCATGTTCTGGCATGTTCCCTGAAGGGCAGAGCATCTTGTTATATATTTGGCTTCAAAATGAGATGGTAGCTCCATTTTTTTTTAAACCCAATTAATCCTTCCAATCTCTAACAACTGTGACTCTGTATTTAGCACAAGAGAAAGCTGAGAACGTGGGTTTCGCCTCCTTCAGAAATATGTCTAGCTCATCAGGACATTTTTTAATAACTTCAAAATATTTTTAAGATATTTTAAACTTTTGTAAAAAATAAAAAACAAAAAAACAAACACACACACACAGAAAAACCTGAAACCAACCAACAAGGGGAGGAGCGTTCGTGTTTGAAGGATCCGTGGTGTGTGACCTGTCTTGCAGTGTATAAGCTCTGTGTATTGGTGTTTAATGATGACGCCCCTGCATTTTGCAGGGTTTCGTTTTTTTTTCCTCTTTTGCTTTTTAGATGAATATGTATATTGATATTTTAAATCCATCTCTGCTTTTTTTAGAGGAGTTTATAATCACCTTGTAACACAACAATAAACATTTCCTTTTTAAAATCCAAGAACGTGTGGTGGTGTGTTTTGGAGTGGTATATTCACCTCTACATTTTGGCAGGCACTGTATAGTTTATAAAGGGATTTCACTGGGGCTGAAGAGATAGCTCTGCTGTTAAGAGCATTTGCTGACTTTGGTTTTTGAGACAGGGTTTCTCACTAGCTTGGGACTGGCTAATTAGAATATGCTGGCTTGTGCGCCTCAGGGATTCACCGATCTCTCCTCTCCATCTAGGGGATTGCAAGAACTGGCATTAAAAAAAAAAAACAATTGGGGGTGGGGGAGTTGATGTGGTGGGCTGGTATGTGCATGTGAGTACAGTGCCCACAGAGGCTAGAAGAGGGCATCAGAGCCACGGGAAGATGAAGTCACAGGTGGTTATGAACTGCCATGTAGGTGCTGGGAACCAAACCTGGTCTCGGAAAGCCTAAGAGCTCTCAACCCTAAATTGTTCCCTAGCCCATGCATGGCAAGTTCAATTGTTTTTGTTTTGTTTTGTTTTTATCAAAGTTGAATCATGCTTGAAAGCCGAGAACATCACCTGTGCTGAGCCACCCCCAGGCCCTAGCCTGGCACTGTAAAGCCAAAGCAAGAGCCACATTATTACACATTGTTATTAAGTCTCCATACCTTAGAAGAGTAAGTGTCTGTTTCCTCCAAACTATGTTTTTAACCTACCCAGAACTTGTAACCCCATGATGCATACCTACCCCTTTTGCCTTGCTAAACACCTGAACCTGTGGTATATGACTGCCCTTTTGCCCTTTTGCCCTGATGCCTCCCCTTCCATGGGGTGGGTTCTGGCACTTATCTACCTCACAGGCAGCCTTGAACCCTGAGTCCCGACTCTTCTGTCCAGGTGCCAACAGCCAATTTTCTCAATCACTGTTTTCTATCAACCCTAACCCTTCCCTGTACAAGGAACCTCAAAAACCAGTGAGGGGCTGCTCTCTGTAATTCCAGCTTTGGGAGAGGCAGTCGACTGGCCAGTTCTAAGCACAGCTTGCTTTAGTCAGACTGTCCTGGAACTGCACACACTCCACCCCTAGGTCTAACAACACCTTTGTCTTAGCTTAGTTGCTGCATGACATCAGGTGTGGAATGGGTGTTGATGCTTCCAGTTTCTGATTTTATTTCATACAAGGGATGTCCCCTCTATTAGCAGAGGTAAAAACCCCTGACAGGAAGTTCCCAGACCAGGTTTGCTCCAGGGTACAAGACTTCCCAGCCAGATCTTGGGTGGGTGGGGACTATGGCTCTGCTCTGGCTGGTTTCATAGACGTGACCGAATAAAAGAGCACCTCGCCACTGTGTTCCCGTTGCCTTTTTTGATGGCCTTCTCGGTGTCCACCTCCCTCCCTTCATCTCTCTCAGCCAGCTGGCTTGTGTTTGGATCCTGTGTGCCTCTAGGCAGGTCACTTACCCGATCAGATCTGGTGGTCCCTCTGTACTGTGTCAGAGTCCTTCCCTGAGGCTGCTAGGAGGATTTTACCCATTGAGTGCTCTGAGCTGTGTGGATGGTGGTGGCCCACGCTCCTACCACCTCCCCAGACAGTGAGCTCACTGACACTCCAAGGGAACAGCTTCTCTCTGCCCTTATTTCTGCAAGCACGCCCCCCCATCACAGGCCTGGCCCTGTGCTCTAGACCCCAGAATCAGTGAGCCTACTTTGCCCCAGGTCCTCAAGACTTATGAGCAATAGCCAGACCACCAGGCTACCCACCTGGCACCTCCCTCCTGCAATGCCAAAGATTCTTTGGATGAACGGACTGACACATCCCATCTCTCGGTCTAGTTTCCAGTACCACCATGCCTCTGGGCCACAGAACCTGCCAGACTCATTCATAGCACAGGTCCTCTGCACTTGCTGCCCCCCCCCCCCACACCACACATACCTGGGATACTTCCTCCAGGTCTTACTGGCTGGCTTCTGTCCTGCAGTTCTTACCATGACTATCAATTGCTGGCCACTCTGTTCCAATAGGTTGTGTTTTCTTTACTGTTCTTTTTGCCTTCTAAAAAGACTCTATGACCTCTTCACAAGGATGTACGGCCACTTTTTTAAAAGTTTTTATTCAGTGTGTGTGTGTGTGGTGGGTATGTGCATGTGAGTGCAGTGTTAATGGAGGCCAGAAGAGAGCGTCAATCCCCTGGAGCTGGAGTTATGGGGGGGTTGTGAGTTGTCTAATACAAGTGCTGGGAACTGAACCTAGTTCTTCTGGAAGAGCAGTAAATGTTCTTAACCACTAGGCCATTTCTCCAACCCCCAAAATAGCCTGGTATTTTTTGTTTAAAGATATCATTTTATGTGTATGAGTGTTTTGTCTGTGTATGTACATATACCACGTGTGTGCCTGATGCCTGCAGAGGTCAGAAGAGGGTGTCAGATCCCCTGGAAGTGGAGTTACAGATGGTTGTGAGCTGCCTCGTGGACTCTGGGAACCAGAGCCCAGTCCTCTGCAAGAGAACCAAGAGCTCTTAACCCGTGAGCCATCTCTTCAGCTCCATGGACCACTTTATGAATGAATGAAAAGAAGTTGAGGACCGTCAAGAGTCACACAGCAGCTGAACCTTGCCAACCTGTTATTTTTTTTAATAAAGCAAACAACCTACTACGTGCATTTAACTGATTTTATTAAAAATTCGTCCCAATAGCACTCACCTCCCCCAAGTCACTGTGATACCTGGTGGGACAAAGATTTATTCATAGACCCCAGACAGACCAGACAGACCAGCCTGTGCAATGGAGCCACGGATGTGCTGGGTGCTTCCTGGGAGCCCTAAGAAAACCCACATAGAAAAATACTTTACAAGGACTATGTTCTAATTTAGCCAGAGAAAAATACAGCTCTGGGGGTGGGGTGGGGGTGTCACAGGAGAGGTACCCAAAATGCATAGGCAGGCAGGATGCTCACTGGGGAGGGAGCTAGGGATGTTGTGTGGGGTGAACACCCCTGTGAGAAAGAAGCCAGGGGGGATATTGCATATGAGAAGGCCTCAGGCCATGGCCAGGAGGTCCACCCGCTTGGCCTAGTTGCATATGTCTGGGAGGGTGGGAGAGCCTCAGCCCGAGGGGAGGGCAGGGGTCGAGTAGTTGTTTCTTCAGAGCCTGGAGTCTTTGAGTGGAATACAGATTTCCTAAGCCAAAAGGCCCTTAGAGTACAGTCAGTCATGCCACATACCAGAAACCCAGAGACTGAGCCATCTGCCCAGGGTCACACAGTATCAGGTGCTGGTGGCCAGGAGTCACCTCTCTGCTGTGTCATTTACCTGCCCTCAAAGCTGAAGGTCTTGATTTGTTTGTTGCCGTGATGGGTGGGCAGTATCTTTTCACTCCAGGGCAGTGAAAGCAGAGGCTCTGGGTTACCTGGACCCAGGCATGAGGGACCCTGGGGAGGCCATCACAAAGGGCAAGGTATGGGGGAAGCCATGGAGGAGCAGAGAGCCAGGGGGTCTCAGTGGGTAGATGGAGATGGCCCTGTGTCTGCCCAGGTTCACCCAAGAAGGGAACCAGGGGTAAAGAATGGCTTCTTGAGTCCCCATCTGTCCTCTTGAACAGAGTCTTTCTGGCAATGAGTTTCAAGGGCAGAGAAGGGGAGATGGGGTTGGATTGGAGACCCCTGGGTCCTTGAGACCTGATCCGGGCAAACACAAAGCCAATCCGCAGACTAACCCAGACCACTGGGAGGTGGCTAATGTCCTTCTTGAAGCTGAAAGGGTTCTGCTTGGCAGAGATGGAGGGAGCCCGAGTTAAGGGATGCTGGTGTCCCCATCTGTGAAGTGGGACCTCCTTGAATAGGCTCTTTGGACGTTGCTCCCTCTCGCCATGCTCTGTCCTTCAGCCATTTCCTCTCCATCTCAGTCAGCTTCTCTCTTCCCTCTTCCTCTTTCTTCTCCCTTCCGTGGATAGGGTTGATGGCAGAGCTGTGACTCAGCCTTGTTTCCATATCTGCTGGAATAGCAGGTGAGTGGATGCTCCTGGACCTTTCCACACCAAGTAGTGACTTGGGCTAAGGTTTTGTGGAGCAGGAGGGGTGATGGCCACACCTCTGCTTTGGGGTTCAGAACCACTCAGGAAGCTGAAATGACTGAGCCATCCACCTGAAGGAAGGGGCTAGCATTCCCTGGTACCACAGATGTCCCTAATTGGGGTTTCCCAGTGTGGCCATTGGATGCTGGAGGCTCTCAGAACAAGGGAGGGTCCTATTCTCCTTGTGCCACATCCTTCCTGATGGCAGGGTCCCTGTGTGACTGGGTACCACCTGTACAGCTGGATCACCGAACACTTCTTGCTGGAGTCCAGGACTGTCCTCCTGTTTATTTGCCTTCCATGATGGGAAACACTGGCAGCGCATTCCAGTTACTACACTGAGCTGGGCTGTCCCCACTCCTGTCACTGCTCTGAGGTGACCATGCAGGGATCTGGAGGAACCCCAGCTCTCTCCTGGATGAGCAGCAGGGCTGACCCCTTTTAGGTGGGGTTCTCTGAGCATCTTGAAGATCCAGCTTGATGACGCCACTCTACCGGGTGTGGAATCTGCAGACCTACAAGTGGATGAGTAGGGCCACTCCTCCAGCGGAGCTACACGATGACCTCAGAGCATCTGGGGACTGCTGGGGCCTGGTGCCCGGGGTGTCCGGCGGCTCTGTGCCAGTGGGTTACGGCTGATGACCAGCTCCAGGATGTCCCCAGCCTCTGCCAGGAGAGGAACCGCCAGACAGCAGTCGAAGTCCCGAGTGCGAACATGGTTGACCTGCACAGTGCACAGCCGAGGGACAGAGTCCCCGGAAAGGAAAGTTCTAGAAAGAACCTGTACCTATAAGACTGATGAGCTGGAGAGATGGTGGAACATGGCAGGACCAACGCCTAAAACTTACCTTGAGCTATCTCAGCTCCCACTGAATAGCTTGTCCACCTATGTCTGACCTAACATCCTTTCAATGATCAAGGGACCACTAAGTTCCACCAACTTCCCAAGAATGGCATCAGAGGCCTAAAGCATGGAT